AACCGGACCATGAATAGTACATTGGGTCACCGAGGAGGACATTGCAGGCAAACACTGGGGACCAGGACAAGCAACTACCACCAACACTAACCGGACCATGAATAGTACATTGGGTCACCGAGGAGGACATTGCAGGCAAACACTGGGGACCAGGACAAGCAACTACCACCAACACTAACCGGACCATGAATAGTACATTGGGTCACCGAGGAGGACATTGCAGGCAAACACTGGGGACCAGGACAAGCAACTACCACCAACACTAACCGGACCATGAATAGTACATTGGGTCACCGAGGAGGACATTGCAGGCAAACACTGGGGACCAGGACAAGCAACTACCACCAACACTAACCGGACCATGAATAGTACATTGGGTCACCGAGGAGGACATTGCAGGCAAACACTGGGGACCAGGACAAGCAACTACCACCAACACAAACCGGACCATAAATAGTACATTGGGTCACCGAGGAGGACATTGCAGGCAAACACTGGGGACCAGGACAAGCAACTACCACCAACACAAACCGGACCATAAATAGTACATTGGGTCACCGAGGAGGACATTGCAGGCAAACACTGGGGACCAGGACAAGCAACTACCACCAACACAAACCGGACCATAAATAGTACATTGGGTCACCGAGGAGGACATTGCAGGCAAACACTGGGGACCAGGACAAGCAACTACCACCAACACAAACCGGACCATAAATAGTACATTGGGTCACCGAGGAGGACTACAACTCATCATCAGTCCACCAGAACAGCTCACACATGGCTGGACGGTGACGCGGAGAAGACATGAAAGCTGGCTCCTACCTGTAGCAATGGTCAATGGTCTCCTTGGCTCGGGAATGGGCAGTAGCCCTCAAAGATTTGCTGGACAGAGCCACCACCGATGGTGAGCCCTTGTGTTGTAGGTCCACACAGTTCAGTTCCTCCTCCTCGTTTAAGGTGGGCAGATAGCCGCTGACCAGTTTCAAGCTCCCGGGTCCCATGTTGTTGAAGTAAGCCGTGTTCTCTCCCCCAGTCCTGACGTACTCCAGGTATATGTCGGAGGTGAGGAACATCTGGTAGGCATTGTCCTCCATCATCAGCTGAATCTCCGCTTGAGCCGGGTCAAACATGGTGGAATCGATCAGCTGCTTCTTGATGGAGTCCCGGACGAAAACTTTGGTCGGGGGCTTCAGCTGTTTGGACACCACGCCGCAGTTCTCAATGTAGCGTTTGTGGATAGCCTTCGCCACCCTCAGCGCTTTAGGGTCCTTGATGTCCATCTGTCGGAAACCATTGCAGGCAAACCAAAAGTCTAAAGTATCCACGCATTTTTCCCTTTCCAAGAAAGTCCGGAAGAGATGAGCTCCGTCCTGATCACCCAGCAAGGAATGCAAGGACTTGTTCCACCGTGCCAGCGGAGAGTCAGGGGACGCACTGCCTTCCGGCTCCCCCAAACCATCTTCATTTCTCCGGGGGGGATCAGAACGTGATGCAGACTTGGATCTTTGGCTTGGCGCTGGGAACTGGCATGGTGTCTGGCCTTCTTCTCCTGGCACTGGCGGGCGAGGGGCGTCTTCTCGAAAGCTGCCGGTCTCATCCGAGAGGGGAGTCCCCAGCAAGGCACTGCTCATGGCTCTCTGGCTGCTATGGGAGATGTCAAATTCCTCTGTAATCGGCTCTCTTCTCTTCTCTCTCAAGTCAGCGGGGGATCCTGCCAGCCGTCTTCCCTCTGTGAATGAAAAGAAAGTATTGATTTAATCCAAAGCAGATCCGCCCAACATCAAAAGAAAAGAGTCAACAGTCTTCTCAACTCCGCACTGCCACACAGAGCCACAGACATACACAATGCAAATCACAGAGAACCTTCAAAGGACGCCATGTGTGAGAGCAGAGGAT